CCGATGGGCCCCGGGGTGCCGCTACTGCCCCCGGAGCCGCCATTGTTGGAAGTGAGGAGCCTAATGGCACCGTGGCCAGCACAGTGCTTTTAAGATTCATTCTGTTGGAGCTGGAGAGATGGCTCATTCATTCATATACATATATATATATGGAGCCATGGGTCCCTGGGAGCTCTGGGGGTTCTGGTTGGTTGATACTGTTGTTCTTCCTTTGGAGTTGCAAACCCCTTCAGATCCTTCAGTCCTTTCTCTAACTCCTTCTTTGGGGACCCCATGCTCAGTCCAATGGTTGGCTGTGAGAGCCTCTCAGGAGACAGCAGTATTAGGCTCCTGTCAGCATGGACTTCTTGGCATTCACAATAGTGTCTGCATTTGGTGACTGTATATGGGATGGTTCTCTAGGTAGGGCAGTCTCTGGATGGCCTTTCCTTCAGTCTCTGCTCCACACCTTGTCTCCATATTTGCTCCAAAACATTTGTTTGTTTTTATTTAATGTGTGTGGGTTTTTTTTTTTGCCTCCATATATGTCTCTAGACTATGTACATGCAGTGCCCAAGGAGGCCAGAAGAGGGCGTTAAATCCCCTAAAACTGGAATTAGAGACAAGGGTGGGGGTTGGAGAGATGGCTCAGTGGTTAAGAGCACTGACTGCTCTTCCAGAGGTCTTGGGTTTAATTCCCAGCAGCCACATGGTGGCTCACAACCATCTGTAATGGGATCCAATGCCCTCTTCTGATGTGTCTGAAGACAGCAACAGTGTACTCATATACATTAAATAAAATAAAATAAGTAAAAATAAAATGAGAGAAAAAAAAAAAGAGACAGAGGTGAGCCCCTGTGGTGGTGCAGAGAACCAAATTTGAATCCTTTGGAAGAGCAGTCAAGTGCTCTTAACCGATGAGCCATCTCTCCAGCCCTAAAATTCCTATGTTTTGCATGCTGGAGGAATTAGTCTCTGGCTTGTGATAAGCATGGTAAACGCCGAGTTCTCTGGACTTTGCTGGTAGAGTTTACATATTTTCTTTATTTCTGAGAACCTCATGTATAATGACATATGAGCATGTCTACCCTTCTTCCCGCAACTCATCTACCTCCCAACTTCATACTTTCCCCTTCCTTTCTTCCTCTTCTTCCTCCTCCTCCTCCTCCTCCTCCTCCTCCTCCTCCTCTTCTTCTTCCTCTTCCTCTTCCTCTTCCTCTTCCTCCTCCTCCTTAATATAGCCAGCCCACTTGGTCCAGGTAGTGCTGCCCATAGGCAAGGTCATGGGGATTGAACCCAGGGCCTGCAAGTGCTAGCTAGGCAAAGCGTTTTACCACTGAGCCACACCCACAGTTCCATTATTACCAACTGGCTGAGTTAGTTATATCACATCCATTTTTCAGAACCAAGTCTGAGGGTCAGACTTCCTCTCTGAACTGGCTGTGGATGCATTAGCTGGTGGCACGTGTGGAAAAATGTCACAAAATTAGTCATCTTGAGCTGGAGGCAGGGAGTGTTTCTAGTTGACCAGAAAAATAAAATTGCCTTAAACCAAAAACTATTCTGGCCACTCTTCCTTCAACCGTAGCACCCCCCATCCCCCACCAACACAAACTTTTCTTCTTCTTCTTTTTTTCTTCTACCAGGAAAAGAAACCGGTCGGGTGAGTTTTGTATTATTCTTCTGCAGTTGTAATTTAAGCCACACCAATGGTCATTTGTGATGTTTTTCTTATATTTTTAACCTCCAGTTTGTTTAGCGGAAAACTTTCCCTTGAAGCTATTAAGACGAACATAACCATGGAATGAGAAGCTATGTAAAGACTTGGGGAACATTATTATGGTCACAATTCCTCCTTTGGTTAGTTCCTTGGGTCTTGACATTGGTTAGACCTGCATTTCAATGAGTTCCAAAGTAGGCGTCGTTCCTGGGCAAATTGCTTTTCTGCTCTGTTCCTCTGTTTCCCCAATATGAAAGTAAGGATTTTTACAGCACCAGACCTAACGGGCTATAGCAAGGATCTATGAGATCTATGTGGAGTACTTGGGCTCTCATCTGTACAGAGGGAGGCCTTAATAAAAAAGTAAAATTTTAGGGGTTGGAGAGATGGCTCAGTGGTTAAGAGCCCTGGCTGCTCTTCCAGAGGAGCTGGGATTGAATTTCACACCCACGTGGCCACTCACAACTCTCTGTAACTCCAGTTTCAGGAAATCTGACACCCTCACATAGACCTATATGTAGGCAAAATACCAATGCACATAAAATAAAAATAAATCATTTTGTAAAAAATAACTTTGGGGGCTGGAGGGATAGCACATTGATTAAGAATGTTGGTTGCTATTGTAGAGCATACAGGTTAGCTTCCTGGTACCTACATGGTAGCTCATAGCTCCATTCCAGGGAATTAACACTTCTTTTGGCTTTCTTGGGCAACAGGCATGTACCTGGCACACATGCACACATGCAGGCAAACATGGACACAAAACAAAACAAAACAGAATAAAATCTCGGCACAATTCAGGAATATCTAAATATTTCAGGAAATGGGCCTTAAGGAAACAGGATATTTCCAGGACTGTTCTAATCCTTGGTTGGGGCCATACAGATCAAGTTACATGGTTTTGCCCCCTTTCAGTTACAAATTTATGGGGAGGGGGTCTGGTTTCTGTTATTACCCTGTGAAGACTAAACATTGGCAATAGCAATTGGTTTCATTCAACAAAGGCCAATGGCTGTTTGGAGGGGGTTGTTGCAGAAGGACAACAGTCTGAGTGACCCAGACCCTAGAGAGTTGAGGAGAAGGTTGGAAGGGACACGAGGAGGCCACAATACAGGGGTCCTGCCTAGACCACTGACCTCTTCCCAGGAACAGAAGATTTGAGACAACATAGGTTCATCCATAGGTGACAACTTTGTGGCTGTGTGAACCTTCCCTTCTCTCCCTTCTTTCCCTCTTTCTTTTTTTACCTGCTTTTGTCCCAAGTGTCTGTGTAGCCTCCAGCTCCAATGCTTGGCCCTTGGTGGGATTTCTATGGAACTGTCATTTGATAGGTGAGATCTCTGAAGTTCTGAGAAGGCACGGAGGCCACTTATGGAGGCCACACTGCTGGGATGTGGCTGGGCCAGACTGTAAATCACCATCCTGAGACAGAAACCCAGCCCTTGCTGGTCAACAGGCATTTTCTGACACATCTTGTTTTATTTTCTTATGGCCTCTTGGGACATTACCATGGCTCAGTGCTCTGTGCGTGTCTCCGACATGCATGTGTGGTTTAACAATTCTCCTCATGGTTAAAATTGCCATGTACTAGGTTCCTGCTCCCAGCAGCCACAGAGAGCAGTCAGAGTCACCTGCTCTAGTCTTATATGCTCCAGGCTCATGAAGAGACAGGAAGGAATCTGGTTAATTGCATATTCACATTCCAGGGCATAGTTTACTAACTCTATTTTTCTCTGAGGATCTAGGTTTAAGGCAGAGAGGTTAATCTCTGAGCCTATCTTCCCCTAATGACACTTGTGGTGGCTTCTGCATAGCAGAGGGCCTACATGTCCCTGGGAAGGGTGAGGCAGGAGGATGTGGGCTGTGGCATCTGCTTATGAACTCTGTGACCTCTTGTCTCTGTATCCAGAGCTATAATAAGCTTATGATTCACCAGGTGGACTTCTGCTCAGGCAGCTTCTGTGCATTCCCCACTGAGCCCTTGGTGCTGGCCCACTGATCACTAGGCGGGAGGACCCCATCTCACTTTACCTACCTCTCCAGGCCCATTCTAGCTGCACCCTCCCTTGGGGAGCCCTTAGGGGCTGGTGCAGATAACCTGTTCATTTCTAAACTCAAGCCAAATTACACATTAGATCTTTCCAGAAGGAAAAGTGGAAGATGATACCTAGTTTGAGAAAGTGACAGAAGTTTCTTTCAGTGAACTCTGGGGGGACAAGACTCCCTAGGACAGTTTATTGTCAGCCATCCTATGGTACTTGATGCCAGTTTGACCTACCACAGTGAAGTATTTGAAATGTCAATGAGATTTGGACTCTCTAATGAAATGCTGGAGACTCCTACTGAGTCTGGTGGATTCTGTTGTTTGGGTTGGAATGCTGGTACCCTGGTAAGTCATTTTCCACCATATAGGTTTGTGCTTTGTCACATGTGAGGGGACACTTGGGTACTTATATGGGATGTACCCCCTAGGATGCTGGGGTTACCATAGTTGCTACTATCTATAGGGAGTTTACCGTGTGCCCGGGTACTGGACCAAACTGTTTCTGTTCTTCCTCAATCCCACAAAAGCTCTTTACGTTTGAATACCCTGTGTTCTGTAATATTTTCAGTTAGCACTTGTCTTTTTTTTTTTTTTTTTTACCCATTCCATCATTCATCGTATAGTTAAATTCTGTTTTACTGTCATATGGAGCCTCTTACCTTTAGCATGCCAGTGGGCCCTCTAGTACGCTTTTTGTATGTATTTGTTGAAATTGTCCATTAAAGAGTCTCCAAAGAGAGCTTATTTTACTGGTAAAGAAACTGAAACAAGGGAGGCAGAATGATGCTGTCCCACTTTCTCTGCGCCTGAAGGCAGCCCTGCGGTCCAGATCTGTCTGCAAAGCTGAAACCTCTGGCACTGTCCCTGTTATCAAGTAATTCTTTCAAAAAAAATAGTGCCCTCTTCTGCATGCATCAGAGAGTCTCAGGCAGAGAGTTGTTGAGGGCTTGAATTCATTTTCATGACGCAAAGAAAAAAAAATCTTCTAGTGTTTGTTAGAAAATCTCCAGCCCAACTACTACTAGCTGGAGTTTGCAGGAGCCTCCCAGGCCTTCCCAACCTGATTTTTCCCCTCCTGCCGCCTTCCCTTTTGTGAGCGTTTCTTCCCTTTTTTTGCTTGCAGCGGGTTCAGCTCTCCTGCAGGCTACAATGTGTCAGTTGTTCTAAAATCCGGGAGGCGGAGTCTAGTGACGAGGGCGGTGGGGGAGAGCTCAGCCAGTCTTGCAGGGTGAGCAGTCCAGCCCTGGGTCCCGCGGAGCTAAAACGCTACAGCCAGGAAAACTTCCATCTCCTTCTCCTGGTTTTGATCCTCACCGGATAGCAGACCCGAGGCGCCGATCGACCGGAGGGAGGATGAGAGATGACCGGTCCTTTGGCAACCTGACCATTTCCTTAGCAGAGCCTTCCAAAGCGAACCGGAGACTGGCCGCACGACCCAGGAGGCGCCGCGCCTCTTGTGGATGTGTGTGTATGAGTGAGCGAGCGGGTGTGTGTGTGTGAGTGAGGGTGTGTGTGTGTATGTGTGTGTGCGCGTGTGTGTGTATGCGCGCGCTTGTGGTGTGGATGGGTGTGTGCACAGCACAATTGCGTGGAAGCGTGTCTGGGTGAGTGTGTGTATGCACTCGTGAGTGTGTTTGTGTGTGTGTGTGTGTATGTGTGTGTGTGTTTGTTTGTGTGTGCTCTTGGCTGCTATCATTATTATTATTTTGGAAGAAAAATCCTGGAAATCTGGGGTAGGTTATGGTACTCCCAGGGTGATTTCTTCTTTTGCAAGAGGAGCTGACCAGAGCAAGCCACTAGAGCCATTTCCCTGCCAGCAGAGAGCATTTTCCTCCCAGAAGAAGGATTTCAACCCGGGCTCTGCAGCCAAGTAAAAAAGATTAGCCCTGAAACCTGTGAAATCAACCATTGCTCTGTGATTACCCAGGCTTGGGAGAGGACTTGGAAAGAAAAGGAGAAATAAATCAAACAGCCTGTCAGGTCTTTTTGCCACGTCGGAAGATGTCATCTCAAACTAAGTTCAAGAAAGACAAAGAGATCATTGCTGAATATGAAGCCCAAATAAAAGGTGAGCCGTGGGGCTGAGGGGCTTTGCCTTCTCTCCCTCCCCTTGTCTCTCCCGCTGCTGTCTCTTCCTTTGCCTCCCTGCCTTCTTGAGAAGTTGCTATGCAGCAATAATCTTATTGTAAGGAGGATCGGCTGCTGGGTGCACAAGTCCAGACTGGCTCCCACTGCAGATAGCGGCTGGGCTGGGAGCGTGAATTACAGAAAGGGCAGAAATCTCTGCATTGCAGGTGTGTGAGGAAGGGACTTTAGGAGTGTCGCCGGTACTCCATCATCTTGGCAGTGATATGTCACTCGAAGGCCGTTTTGACAGTCAAGGCCTCCTCCCCCTCACTACCACTCTGAAAGCCCTATGCTATTTATGTATATATTTGTTTGACCTGCTCTCCCCATCCCTTCTTTTGGCTTTTGTTGGTGGTTGTTTTTACCTCTGCTGCCTTCTCTGGGCTGAAATTCAAATGCATGAGTATGGGTTGTGGGGAGTGGGGGCACAGCATCCTTAAGTAGCCCTTCTTTGTCAGCGTTTCTTGCCTGGTCTGAGTTGCCATGGATTAACTGTTATGGGACATATTGATCCAGACTAATGCAGGCATTTAAGCATAAAGAGAGAGTTCTGTGCAGAAAATGTATTATCTTCCAGCGTGCAGCCTGGTCCTTCTGTGCATCGGTGTTTCAGGTCATCAGCTTTGGTTAAAAGCCAATACCTCAGTGTTCAATTTGGACTGATAGGTGCTGCTTGACTCCCGTGGTTCTGAGAAAAGTCGGCCTGCTAGGAGAGTGAGATGACCTTTGGGTGCTGGTTCCAGCTTTGGTGGCATAGAATCCACACTTCTTGTAGAAGCCGCTCCCTAAATCCTTGCTAGCTGAGAGGAAGAGAAGGGCACAGCTAAAAGAAGGCAAGCAGCCTCTGCCCTTAGGCCAGACGGTGGGCTTCCTCCACCCTCAGGCTTTCTAAGCTCAGCTTCAGCAGGGAGAGCTGAAGGTTCCTTGCCCTGCTTCCCCTTTGCAGAGCCTGTGGGGGAGAGAAGTCCTTGCTGTAGCTCTAAGCACCCATTTTCTTTCCAGTCCTTGGTTCTCCTTGCTGCGACACAGGGTGTGTTGTGGTCTCACACAGAGTGGGCACACTGCATCTTCAGTGGGTGTGGAGGCCTGGTTTTGAGGCTGTTGAGCAGGGTGCTGCTTTGAGGTTCTGGTGACCAGAGGATGCCACGCCTGTTTCTATGCTGCCTGAGGGCTCCACGCTGCAGGAAGTCAGTAGCCTCAGGCTGTCTGTCTGTCCTGTCTGTACTGCTTTCAACCTTCTGATTTGGGGGAAAGCTTTGGAGAACAGGCATGGGGTGGGGATGGGGGCTTTGTTTTTTCCTTGTCTTTGGTTGTGGGCCCAGCCAGGATGTTAGCAATCCCTGGGTAGATCCAAGATAAAGAAGAGAGATCTCTCCTTTTCCCTGGCCTCTTCCTTAGTTTTCAGCTCAGTGTCAGAAACAGTGACTTTAATGTATCAGCCTTGCTGACAATTGAGAAACTAGCCCTTTAGCTGCCAGAGACTGGGATTCACCCAGCCGTTTAGAACAAAAACCAATTTTCAATTTTGTATATCTACTTTTTAGGGAGTAAATTTATACACACACACACACACACACACAGCTAAAACGTATATATTCTCAAAACATACAACACACACACATATGTACACATGTTTTGATACTATCTTTACTACTTTTTTTTTAAATTGAGATTTCCATAAAAAACGTTATGACAGACAAGAGAAGGGGGTGTTTGGACAGTGTGTGCCTCTTGGTAGGAAATCTGCTTATCTCCTCTTTAAAGGCTAGCACCAGGCAGCCAACCTTTCCTGAGGACCCACAAAATGTCACTTGTTCTAGCAAATTCACTTCCTTTCACCTTTCACCTTTAACTTAACGACTGCCCAGCACATACAAGGCAGTGGCAAGGAATTTCTTCAGAAATTTGCCCAAAAGATCTGGTCTCTTCTAGATTCTGGATGTCTTCACATTCTGATTGAGTTTAATTTTTTTTTCACCTGTAGTAGACATCCATAAGATTCAGATCACAAGATCGCTGCACCTGAGGTCTTTTGAAATCTTTCCTTCCAACGTGCTATTTGTTGGCCTGGCCTGGCATGTAGCTCAGTGGTAGAGCACTTGCCTAGCATGTTCCAGGCCCTGGCTTCCATCCTCTGTCTTGTTTGTTAATTACTCTGGTAAGGATTGATGTATCCAGGGACCTCAAGTTTCTGGGGTTCATTCCCAGCCTTCGATGCCACATGGTGTACAAAAGGCTTAGTAAGCACCTAGGTTCAGAGATAAGGAACTGAGGCCTGGCAGTGCTCAATGACTTACCCAAGGTCGCAAGGCCGGTATCTTCCCAGGCCTGATGTCCCCGGTACATTGTCTGACTGACACAGCCCCTTGAAGGATTGATGTCAGTAGCAGATGGCAGTGTTGTGCCGGGCACTGGTGGCCTCTTGATGGCGTCCCATTGTTCCCTTTTTACTTTCCTCTCTCGGCCTTTGTGGCTTGTCTCTGAGGAAGGTTTGATCCATGAGCAAAAATAATGCTTCGTGCCAGTTACCGTCTTCCCGGCATTTGGCCAGGTTGGTACAAACAGTCTACTTCATTAGACAGATCTCATAGACGGCGAATTTTGAGAGAGAAACTTCTGATTTTTTGAAATGATGTTGAGTTTCATTGACTTAACAAAGGATGGATACTTTTGAACAGCATTTCCATTGGAAACATGCTTAGATTCAGCCTTCTCTTGCCTCCCAGATGCCTGAATCTGACTGTGTACCTGTGATACCTGACTCTGACCTGTGCTCGTGTGCAATCCAGGGATGGAAAACTCAGCATCCTCTAGGCTCATGTATGTTACATTTGGCTAGCTGTGGCTCATGGATTTTTTTTTCTTAGAAGATATCACCTAATGGTTCTATAGGTTTTTCTTCTTGGAGACTTTTTAGAACAGGATAGACATGTCTCTGTGACTGCCCACTCCTTGGGGGTTGGGAGCCTCCAGTTGTGCCCCTGACTGTACTTCACTTTGCTTTGGTAACACAAGCCACCACTGTTTGCTGTCTTCATTGTTTCACTTGTGTATTTGGGGGCTGTGTATATGTGCATGTCTCATGTAGCCCAGGATAGCCTTGTACTGTCTAGCCAAGGATGATTTTGAACTCCTGATCCCCTTGCTTCTATCCACCTCCTGAGTACTAGGGTTATAGCATAACTATGCTGGGTTTATGCCATGCTAGGGATCGAACCCAGGGCTTCCTGCATGGTAAGTGAACCGTTCTACCAACCAACAGAGCTCCGTTGCAGTCCTCCCCTCACCTTAGCTCTATTGCTTCCTGGATTGCAAATCCCAGTGTTTCGGGTGCTTGCAGGGTAGAAGGAGGATGACTCGTGGCAGATGGCACACCTTACTGATAGCAGTAGAAGAGGTGGTGACAGTTATGATAGACCCGAGGGCACACATCCTGTCCAAATGCATACCTGAGTGCAACCATTTGTTGCCACTTTGAAGCCTGCCCGCGTTTTCAATTTTTCCACAGGTGCCAGAAAATTGCAGGGGAACTTCATGTTTTTAAAGAGGTTTTCCAAAAGGATGCCCCAAAGATATAACTCTCCGTACTTTGTCAATATGGTAGAAGAAAGATAATGGCTGCCCCCCTTTTTTGATGCCTGTTATACTTCTACCGGTCCATCCCAGGTGTTACCTTAGCCCTTAGCTCTGCTCACTGCTTACACCACGCATGTCTGCTGTGTCTCTGCTCTCCTAGGCTAGGGGTTGGGATGGATTTGAGCTGGCTCATTCTCAGTTCCCTAACACGGGCTCCAAACAGACATCACTTCCTATCTTAGGTGCTCTTAAATGTCCCTTTACAATCTGCTTGAGAACCTTGCTTGAGAGTGACATTATATTCTCTAGCCGGAAACTGGCAGGCTGTCGCCTGTTCCCATTTTGAAAATCAGAACATTTGCAAGTCTCCAGCTTCTTGGCCTCCCTGCTGTCTCCCACAGTTCCCTCGGAGATCACTGATAGCATTTGAGGATCTTATCTGTTGAATTCTCAGTACCCTGAGCTTTTATTGCTCTTACTGCCAGACATAATGGTCACGTTCACTTACTGTGTTCCTGTTTCCATTTCAGCCCAACAGAGAATTGAAACAGGAGCACAGTGATTGACTTTACAAACATTCTTATTTATCATAGGCCAACTTTTTAATAGTAAAAGTGAAAAAAAACCAACAAACCAAATGGGTGTCTTACTTAGGGTTTTACTGCTGTGAAAGACACCATGACCAAGGCAAGTCTTATAAAGGATGACATTTAATTCGGGCTGGCTTACAGGTTCAGAGGTTCAATCCATCATCATCGAGGCAAGAGCATGACAGCATCTAGGCAGGCATGGTACAGGCAGAGCTGAGAGTTCAACATCTTCATCTGAAGACTTGGAAGACTGACTTCCAGGCAGCTAGGGTGAGGGTCTCAAAGCCTATGCCCACAGAGACACACCTACTCCAACAAGGTCACACCTTCTAATAGTGCCACTCTCTGTCCCAAGCATATACCAATCATGATAACGGGGGAAAGAAGGATAAGCATTCAGGAGTGTAGTTTACTCAGTCGTTTGCATGCTCATTCAACCAACGTCAAGCACTGACCTTGTCCTCAAGCCTTGTGTGGCACTTCATGAGAGATAAAAAAGTGTAGGATACATTATTTACCTTCTAAGACCTCTCTTAGAAAATGACGGTAGAATAAAAAAAAAGATTAAGAAAACCCACAATACAACTTTGCAACTGTCAGAATGAGCTCAAGTCCTGCAGAGAGCTTCCTCCATGTGCCTTGGGATGACTGGAGAGCCTCCTTCGGTTCTTCAAGCATTTCAACAGGATAAAAGAGGGAGAGCTCGCTGGATGGGGAGAACTGTGTGGAGTGGTGGGGACCGTGGCCAACAGGGCGGTTTTGGAGGCACCAGTGC